TTTCAAAGTCCTAATGAGATTTCACTCATTCAGACATTGCAACAGAGGTGCAATGATATGGTAATTAGAAATCATGAATACTAGCACCAGGACCAGAAACAGAATGAACAGGAATATCTTCCTTAGAGATCCAGTCTTGGTCACAAAAGAAATGACTAACAGAAACAGCAACATGAGGACAAAGGTACTTGAGAGCCTTCAGACAACGATTAGAATGAAGTTCAGCAGCAACTTCTTCTAGCTCTAAATCAGAAAGAGACTAATATTTGGGGTCCAAAGGGTCAAACACATCTAAGATCTCGATAGTAACTGTGATCAGAGTGGCCTAGAATTTCTCAGCATACTGGTTATAAACAAGAATGTCAACTGCATTCTTTGGTAGGAAAATTAATATCCAAGATGTAGCCAGTATCAACACCAAGTATTTTTAAAGAGTTGCGGACTTCTCTATGTGTAAAATGGTGTGAACGTAGAATATACACATATTGATATCCTTTGGGACCTGTGGAAATAGCAAACATTCTCACAGAAGCAGCAACCCGTTGAACAAAAGGAGGTCTTGGAGCCTTGCAGACAGAAAGGACAGTAAAAGCAACAATAGAGTTGTAAGCAGCAGCAGCAGCAGTAGCTTATGTAGAAGCCTCAGTGCCAGATTCCTTGGGTGTGTTTGGTGCAGTTGATGTTGGTGCATTTATTGTAATTGGGCAATTGCTCTGAGATGCTAATTGAGATCTGATATTAGCAATTAGCTTTTCCGTGTTAACTAATTGAGCAGTTGATCTAGCATTAGTTGCAGCAAGAGATTCAAGTTCATTGGTATGTTGTTGCAGTGATATGAATTGGGCTTGCATATTCCTCAGAAATGAGGTGAGATCGGGCAACATTCCCTGCTTGACAGAGGATGGCAGCAATGTTAACATTTGAGATTGCAAAAATGAAATATTGTCGGAATCGGCTGAAATTTTTTCTGCTGGTAGATAAGGCAACAGTGGTAATGGATGCAATGTTTTTGACAATGGATGTATTGTTTTGAACAAGATATAGAACAGATTGATGAAGCTTTTAAATGGATACAACAACTTTTGGTAATATGTAATTTGTTACAGTAAATTATGTACAAGAGATATGCGTTAATAGTTCAATGGTAGAATTTCAGCCTTCCAAGCTGAAGGTCGGGGTTCGATTCCCCGTTGACGCATTTTTGCCAGTGTTGATGATATCTTATTTAATTTTGGAACGTTTGTCGGACATTATTTTGATCTATATATCTAAAATCAATCAAAATTAGCAGCATCACGTGATATACGAATTTGCCTGTAAAACATTTATTCACATCTAAAATCTAGCACTTTTACTGTAATGTGCGAGAAGTCACACAATAAGATAATAAGATAGAATGAAATATGAAGATAAAGATAATATTTATTTGTGATAATATTTATGATATTTATATTAATTTATAAGATGCCGCAGTATCCTAGATTCTAGCTAAGTCCTTTTGCTGCGGTATCTTGCTGAGCAATGGTTGTCTTCTTCTTCTTGGCCTTGCTCACCCAACTACTGCGGTTGGAGTAGTTGTTCCTGATTTGGTAGGATTGGAACGGAGTGCCAATTACAATCCGCTCCTGACATTACTATGTCATATGATATACTGAGATATTAACCCCTTGAATTTATTTTACAAACTATTGCCAAAAAAAGTATATAACTATCAAATCAAACTCTAACTTTGAAAAAAAAACCAAAAAATAAAATGTCATCTACTCAACGTCATTGTGCTGCTTGCCATATGCTTGGACATAGTAGAAGTACTCATAAGCAATGTCTCATGAACCCAAAGAACATTTCTCTCCACATTCCTCAAAAGAGAACTAATGTAGATGAATATCCTACAGAAAGTAGCCAAAGTAACTATTTATTTATACACTTATGCGTATTACTGCAAGTATTATATATATTTTTTAATAATAAATGTGTTTATAAAAAATAGCTGCTGCCTTGAGAATAAGAAGTGAGCCTGTCCAAGACCAAAATTTGGACATAGAAACATTGACTTTTATTTCAGTTTCTGAGTTGACTGAATTTCCACTTGCAAATGAGACTATTACTGAAGTTCTTGAAGCAGTCGTGGAAGAAGAGATTGAGGAGACTTCATCCGATGAAGAAGTGACTGGAAGAGAAGAAGAAGTCGAGGTCACTTCATCTGACGAAGAAGTGACTGGAAGAGAAGAAGAAGTCGAGGAGATTTCAACTGTGAATAGAGGATCAATTTTACCCCATTGTCCTCACTGTAACGGAACTGATCATCGCCAAATTACAAGCAGATTTTGTCCAAACAATAACAGTAGCAGAGCAAGAGGATCTAGAAATCGAGGCAGAAGCTTGAATAATATTGCCCGACTTCCAGCTATTTCAGAACCAGCAGTTGATAACAGGGGAGATATAGATATCGAGTGTCGATTTTGTGGGGCAATGATGTGGGCACATGAAAAAAACAGTCGTTCTTCTTTAAGAAGCCCCACGTTCTCTATGTGTTGTAACAAAGGAAAGCATGTTCTCCCCCAAATTGAGCCAACACCTACAGGAATTGCTGAGCTTTTGAACTATAGAACACGTGATGGAAAGAAGTTTCTTGAAAACATTCGAAGCTATAATAGTACAATGAGCTTTACTTCTTTGGGAGCTAAAATTGATACCTCTGTTGGCAACAATATCAATGGGGCATACAACTTCCGGATTCACGGAACAATTTGTCATAGAATTGGATCTATTTTGCCAGTGACAGAATCTGATATCGCTCACTCAAAATTTGCTCAGATCTATATTTATAATAGTGCTGCTCAGATAGATCAAAGACAGTACCATTCCCCACAATTGGAGAGAAGTGTTTTGGAGAAGATTCAGTCCATTCTTATGGAAACAAATCCATTCATACATCTCTTCAGAACAATGGATCAAATTTCTCGGGAAAAGGGACAATCTATAGATCTCACTTTGTGTTTAGTAGCTGAGGGGCCTCAGGATCAAAGACGGTACAATGCTCCAACTGCAAGTGAAAT